TGCGGTTCGCAATATGTACAAAAATAAACGAGCGCGCGACATCGCGACTTGTTCAAACAAATTTCATAAATATTAAAAGCGGATAGATAAAACATAAAAACCAATAAATCACAGTTTATCTAAAATTAATTCAAGCCAAGTTGTAGTCAATAAAGCGACCGTGCTAGAACCACGGGAATTGAGGAATGCCTTACACCTTCTCCCCGGTCAATAGAATTACTTATCCGGACTTTATTTTCGCAGACCAATAATAAAGGAGTCAAACCTTCCTTTGACTAGGGATTCAAATAAAAGGTGACTTGGAACACCAAAAATCAATTCTAAGTGGCGACTCTATAAATAAAAATAATCCCTACTCAAATTTGTCACTTTAATTGGAAAAACTCTTTAACCCACAATCCATAATACACATTATCTTTTTGGGATAGAAAAAGGGGTGTGACAGACATTAAAAGAGCTAAAGCGAAAATTAGACGGGAGGAGTATTTATCTTCATTGAAAAAGAGAGAAGTGCATGAAAATAAAAGATTATGCTTCATAGCTTCATAAATAGCAAAAGCTAGAAAATATCAAGAGTTTAGAGGAACACCATTCGAAGTGAAAATTGACATTATTTTGTTCAATTTGTAAATTAGCTAGGGATCAGAATATCTTACAAGTTACAATGATATCTCCTCCCTCAACAAAATACAAATTGTAAACTATTTAATGCTCATTACAAATACCATATATCTCGCTTTATGAGATCCATGTGACCACCTTTAAAATTCCAATTTTGTAACTTTGAGGTACTTTCTTCCCATCAAACAAGGTGGACCAATACGTGGAATTTGGAGAATTACCAATATTAGTGACAACTCTTTGGACCTTTACAAACCTTTGATTTTGCTTAAGTTTTTGTATAGAGATTGAAGGATAGTTTATGTCTGATATGAGTTGCTTGTCATTAGTAGCATTTCTTGGATAATAAAAATTATTTTTCTTTGATATTACTAATCTATGTTTGTTTCTCTTTGAAGCCATAATAATAGAGAAAGTTATGCTCCCTCCGTTTCAAAAAGATTATTTTACTCAATCTTTTTAAAACAGAGGGAGCAATAATTATTCATGGTTATTTCAAATATTAAGCCTGGATAATTGATATCTAGAGCTTTAATAGGGCTTAATTCCCAGCACCTACTTCATTTGGATTTGCGTGAAGACTTTTAATGTATTTGTCAAGTGCTTTTATCAGATTATTAGATATTGCTATTGTAGAGGGAAAAAGAATTCTAGTTATCACCAATATCTGAAGTAAAATAAGTAATACTAAGGTTTAAAAAAATTAGGGAAAATGGACTATATTTGCAGCAATGTGATGTAAAAAGTAATAGTACATGAAAATAAATAAATAATACTCCTACTAACAACAATTTTTTCTATAAATAATTAATTATCAATTAAATAATCGAAAGAAAAACAAACTCAAAGGAGTAATAGAGGAGATTACCGTATCTTTATACTTAAACAAGTATAGAAACCAAAGTAAATTTACCATCATTGATAAAGCTTATTAGGCAATGTAAAGAGTTTGATTTGATATTTGTTTCCTCCATCTCTCATTAGCTTTAAAGCCAACTGTTTCACTTTTTTATTTAAAAGGCAGCAACAGTTAAACATTAGTAACTAATACTCACATAAAGAATTGCATCCTTCAAATAAATTGGTATTTTTATTTAAATAGTTTAAATTATTTAAAGAGTATTTAAGTAATTTAATTTTTGAGTTTTGGGCTTCCCATAATTAGTTTTTCCAAATTATAAATTAATATTTTTTTATTTTTTTAATTAAAATTTGATTATGGCCGTAAACATTCGATCACAATAGGGCAGACTCCTTCCGTAAATTGAATGGACACAACTTTTTAAGAAAGGACACTTTAAATATATTAGCTTCTTTTTATTTTTATGTGTGTCTTAAAATTTATTTTTAGGTAATTTAGAAGGGCAATTTGGTAATTTAACTTTTAACTTATAAGTTTCCCACTTTTATAATAACTAGTCTTAGGGTACGCGCGTTGCGCGTGTTCCCCACATCAATAAGTAAATAATTTTCAAAAACTCACATAAGTATTATATTAAACAATATCTTTGAGTTCTAATAAAATTAAAATATATAACTTTCTAAAAGTATATATGTTGATCCCAAATCCAACCCAATGAAAGTACTTAAGTTTTGTAAGAATATCTTATGAAATTTTTTGTTATTTTTATGCCTTAATATTGAACAAACAAGTAAAACAATTATTTTTATCACGACGAGTTGGCCTTTTATCACGACGAGTTGGCCTGTAATTCCTATAAAATTTAATAAGTGAAAATTTAAGTTTGAAAATGACTATTTTGTCTAGTCAAATTTTAATTTTAAAGGGTAAAAAAGACGAACGACATTTCGCTAAAGGTCTTTGTACTTTTAATATAATATAGATATGATAACATGCTCCATTAAAAAATTATGATAGGGTATAAAATAAACATAAATAAAATACAAAATTATTCGGTCAGTCAAAACTATTTATATATATATTAAAAAATATTTATATATATATCAACTATTATTTTTATGAGCGATTAAAAATATATACAATTCTCATAAAACACACTACTAATATTTTGTAAAAAAGATAATCGTTTGTAATCATTTTGGCTTCTGTGGTGAAAAAAAAAAGGTAGGGGTATAATTCCAATATTACCCTCCATTTCATCTCAAAACTACACATCGGCAAATTCTGCAGTGTCTTAGTCTCAAACCCCACCGTCGCCAGCTAAAACCCTACTAAGAATCGACTGCCCGTACAGATTCCGGGGAACAATGGATTCGGAAAAACTGTCAGCTCAAATAAAGGACAAAGACTTGTTCAAAGCAGCTGAATCTGGCGATTCATCGCTCTTCGAATCACTTACCGAAGAACAGCTCCTTAAAGCCCTATCTCTCCGTAATGAAGATGTCCGTTCTCTCCTTCACGTTGCCGTCTCTTCTGCCCACGCCCAGGTTCTTTCACTCTCACACTAATTAACTCCCTCCGTTCCAATTTATGAAGGAGTGTGACTGGACACTAATTTTAAGAAAGAAAGACTTTTTGATATTTATCTTTAAAACAAGGTATAGAGACAGTAGAGGAGCTACGATTTTCATTAAGGGATGTCAAAGTATAAAGAAGTAAATTTACGAGGGATTCACCACACATATATACACACATATATATATNATTAAAGTAAAATGAGGGGTTTAAACTTAAATTGTTTCATAGAAAAGTGTCATCCCAATCGAAAAAGGAAAATTTGCCACATAAAATTGGACAGATGGAGTATGATAATTGTCTCATTCAAATTAAGTGAAGTTTAACCAATAGTATGAAACGTATCCTTTTTTTCTTTAAATAAGTCAACTAATCAATTGGGTTTATGATGTATCATATTACCATATTGATACAGGAATTGTAACTTATTGTACTCTATTGTAGTTTACAAACATCTGAGTTTTAATTTAAGAAAAAACTAGTCCTGTCATATTGAGTTCTGGAAGTTACTCTAATTGACTTCCTATAATAAGGGGAAAAGTGTTAAAATATTTGGGTAAAAGGGGGACTAGTGTAAATCACATTTTTTTAAAGTTCAAAATCTACCCGACATTTGAATCATCATAGCAAAAAATATTATGTTTGTTTGATTCTCCAGGACAAATTTGGACACACAGAGTATAATTTTTATGTAATCCCTAAATGTGGTGTTTACAGTTTTGAAGCTAGGGGTTGAAGTAATAAGTTTGTGAAATTTGGGTAATTTTGGTGATGTATATTAGGTGGTGAAGATTCTTGCGGCTGCTGATCCCTCAGCGAGTGGTATAAATAGTGGTGATGAAGAAGGTTGGGTGCCATTGCACTCTGCAACAAGCAGTGGTAATGTGGAAATTGTGGAGATTCTGCTCAGCAGAGGTGAGCAGTATAACAATTTGCTGTGCTGTATGAATGTTAACACCTTATCTATGTCATATAAAGGATATATCTTTACAAAACTGGAAAATTTTAAAAATGCAAATATAAGATCAGAAAGATTTCTATACATATAATATAAAGGAATTCTATAGGGTTTTCAGTTTTTTGGAGCTTATTTTAATGAATTCATGTCCAGTAAGTCGATTGAACCGTTGATATTAAGGGGTAGAAGAAATTGAATGGATGTGCTAAACCTGAAAATAGATGGATGTACATTTAAAAAGAGAGCATGGTTGAATTTGTTGAGTGTTAACTCTTTTTTTTTCACCTTGTTGAGTGTTAACTTATATACGAAACTTTTGCATTTTGCCTACTTGATATCAAATCACTTGGGTCGGCCATCTAATGAAATCAAATGAATCACGGCAGAAATTGCACTGTAATCTTTTGCGCTAATCCACCTACCAATTTGTATTTTGCTATTTCTCCAACATCAAGGTAGGATTCCCTGTTCTCACGAAATTTGTTGCAGGGGCAGTTTTCTAAGATGAAACAATGTTATCCTTATCTCAGCTATATGCTATTTGTAACCTTTAATCCCGTGTATCCTGTGAGGATCCTGGTGCTGTCCCACTGGGAGGGTGACCTGTGAAAGTGTACCTGCTTTTGTCAGCATTGTTTAGACAGTTTCAATGAATCCAGTTCAGTGGTTGAGCCATGTATTTGTGATAGTAAATGTGAATATATTTGTAAATAGGTGCTGATGTAAATCTGAAAAATGATGGTGGCCGCACTGCCCTTCACTATGCCGCTAGCAAGGGTCGAGTGAAAATTGCTGAACTTTTGATTTCACACGGTGCTAAGATCAATGCGAAAGACAAGGCTTGTAATCTTATGCTTGGGACTAATCATCTTCTTGGAAAGCTTATTATGGTTTCAATATATTTGAAGGTTAGGGTGTCCGTAACTTCTTGCTATTGGTTTTATTAACATGTGATGTAGGTAGGATGCACCCCATTGCATCGTGCAGCTAGCACGGGGAACTCTGAGCTGTGCGAACTATTAATTGAGGAAGGCGCTGAAATTGATGAAGTTGACAAGGCAGGCGAAACGCCCTTGATGACTGCTGTTGTATGCGGCAATAAAGAGGTGATTCTGCAGAAGTTATTTCCATCAACTTGGATGAAAATATTATTGTTGCTTAACTTAAGTCTTTAATCTTGTTCATGAGCTATATAGCAAAAGGGTCATAAATATCTGACAAGTGAACAGTGCGTAGATCTTTTTTATTCTTAATACTATATAATTAAGCATGTCAAAGTATCAGATATCTCATGCTGCCCTTTTTTAAGTTATTACACCTTTTTATTTGGTTTGAGGAATGAGCCTTCTTCTTTTGCAACTCCTTTCTTGTTATTCTACTACTCCTACCCACTACCCCATTTGGGAAAGAAATAACAGTTCAATCTTTCTCCCCTTTGTTTGTTCGGTCAAACCGCGGAAACCAACTTATATTTGGACAAAGTTGTTTCCCTCAGAAACTTGGTACGGAACTCTGGGTTTACTCACCTATGATGCATTCCTCTGAAAAGCTCACTAGAAATACATCAAATGTATATCGAAGGGTATGACCTAGTGATTAATGACGTTGAAGATCCCTGCGAGACCATGGTTCAAATCCGAGAAAAAAAATGTGATTTCTTTCATTTGCCTAAACCTTAGTGGGCGGAGTTACCCGGTATTTGTGCTGGTGGGAGGCAGTAGGTATCCCGTGGATAGGTCTGAGGTTCTGCTAACTGGCCAGAACACCGCTCTTGTAAATAAACACACATCTTTGTTGTAGAATTAGTGATGCGTGCCTCTCGAACCAAGCACTACTAAATTTCCGAGCCTTAAGATTCTGCTTAAGTGTACCTTGAATTTCCTCAATGTTAGTATTCTACCTAAATCAAATTTATATGAGCTGAAGAGTTCATTGCTGATGCTCTCTTGAATACATTTGGTACTAAGGTTGAATCATTGTGGTGTCTGCAATTATTGAAAAAAAATTTGGTTGTAGAGAACATTCTTAAGGATCAATACATCTTTAGAATTATTATGACATTACGACGTAACAAACAATAATGCACATGGTAATTATTTTTACTTGACAGGTAGCTATGCTCCTCATACGACATGGAGCAAATGTCGACGCCGAGGACAAAGAAGGCTACACTGTGCTTGGTCGAGCTTCTAATGATCTTCGCCCTGCACTGGTTGATGCTGCAAAGACAATGCTCGAAGGTTGAACTCCACGACTTCATCGCCTATCAGAAAACTCAAGCCGACTCTGTAAAGCATTATGTTGCATGGGAGGAAATCTTAATGTTGTTCTGACTAATTTATAGTATTGCTTTCTACTAACTTAAACATACATTTGTTCACCCCTTGGGGAAAAGATTTGTTGATATGTACAATTGACCTTTCAGAAAGTTTGAACAAGTGATACTAGGTGCAATGTTCCCTTCAACCTCTGTAGTGTACATTAGTTTCTTGATTTTTCCTCTGTCAGAATTACCTCAATCCCTATTATGGCACTCCCTTTTTTATTGCAACAAGCGTGACGTTCTTGTTGATGATTGCAGCAACCCTACTGCAAAGAGCTGAAAACCAAAGCTGCCTTACGTTGGGAAAAATCGGACAATGTGTCTTCCAACGATATTTCCTATTTTGTTCTTTTAAGCGTAACCCTTCTTAAAAGTTAGTCACTAAATTTAATTAGAGATCATTACTCAAAAGTCTCTTTTTAAAAATCAGATGAATTTAAATTCATGATATTGTAGTCAGTATGAAAGTTGTACATATTATCCTATAATAGGAATCGTACGAGGTAATATTCGCCTTGAGAACCTTTATTAAATTATATTACTATTTAATTTTTTAAGTTTAGCCAATGTTGACAAATTCCACTGCTACGCTATTGTTCTTCCTTCGCTTCTCCTCCTCCTTCGTAAATAGCAAAATCAAATTTCTGGTCGTCCAAGCAGCTATTTGCATAGCACCAAAGCAGGCCGGTCTTGTCTGAATTTGACTTTGAGTAAACTTTAAAAAATTTGTAAGCTTCGGCTATTCTTTAAATAATGGTCCTCCAAACTCCTATTTGTACAATTGCCCCGATCGTACGTAGCTTCTTTGTACCTAAGATTGGATTTGGGCCTGGCCCAATCCTTGAAAGAGCAAAGGAAAGGGGAATATGATACCAGGTGATGACACATAAGAAAAATTGGCAATGTTTTAGTCTTATATTAGGTTTGACAAAGACAGTCCCAGAAAAGAAAATTTGGCATGGCATGACAACTAGGTCTAACAATTGGCATAAAAAAGCCAACGTTTTAGAATTTGGCATATAATAGCCTAAAGTTATTCTCTCTTTTTTAATGGTTCAACCACCATCCTAAAAATAAGCCCCATCAAAATTAATTTTCTTAAAAATAGCAAAAAATATTTCAAACCCTCTCTCTTCTCTAATAGCAACCATCATCCCATAAAATAGGTTTCATTTCCTTCAGTAGTATTCAAAAAAACTCCCAAATAATTTTTAATTATTTTTTTAGTTTTTTATCTGTATATCCAAATATATATAACACAATAATAATTATATTTTTTGTATATCACATTGTATAACATAATAATAATGTGTATATAAAAAAAAAATTAAAATTTTATTTTTCTTCTTTATATAACACATGTCAGATTGAAAACTCAAGTTCAAGACGACTCCACATGTATATCCTCTATTGTATCCTGTGTATATCTGTATGTACATCAGTGATATCTCATGTATATCATGTGTATCTGTGTAGATCCATAAAAAATTGTGTTATATATAAGATATAGAATGTGATATACATGGTCGTCCGTAAAATAATTGTGTTGTATACACGATATACAAAGTGATATACACAGACGTCCTAAAAACCCGTGTGTGTTATACACTTATGTACACGATATACAACGTGATATACACATATCGCAATTGAATTTTCAGGTCTGATTTTTTTACCTGAAACCAGTCTAATAACTTCTAATCTTGCTCAAATTTTGTATATAGACTCGTCAAGGTATTTTCAACCAATTTTAATCACACCCACTCATTCAATCCAACCAAAAAAAAAGAGAGAAGAAAAACAAAGTTGAAATGTATTTTCTCTCTTAGTTTTTGCTTCTAATTTTCTCTGATGTGAGATTAACCTTACTTTTTCATCTCACTGATTTTTTTGCATAATTTGCAAGAATTTTTGCTAAATTATGAAAGCGAAAGAGAAGAGATAGAAGAAGAAACATAAGGAGAGAAAGGGAGAGGGTAAAGAAAAAGATACATAGGTTAGAGAGAGAGAGAGAGAATAAATAGGAAGTATGTATTTTTTTAATTTGGCTATATAATGCTAATTGTTTTGGGGTTGTCTTTGCCAAAATAATTTATGGCCAATAATTTGCCAATTCCTCTTGCATGTTGTTATCCAGTGTCAATATTTCCTCAAATAATTAGCTTTGGGCTTGGCCCAATCCTTGAACATGAAATGAACAAAGCAAATACGTTTTGGGGATTGTTTCACAAACAGCTAGCTAGATTCAATATTTATTTTTTTTGCCAGTATATATAGATTATATATTGCCTATACACAGTTATACATATATTATATATGAATTATACATATATCTGCGGTTATTTCTAGTTTAAGAGATAGCTGCGCAACTATTTGGTTTAATTCTTCTACGTTTTTTTTGGGGAAATGCACAAAGCTGCTATCAGGACAGTTATTTAAAATATAGCCGAAATTTCCATAGTATTTAAAATTTAGCCACATTATCAAATTTCAGTCCCCATGTCTGAAGCTTGACCACCGTACTTCTGACCTGAGGTTTCAAACTTCAGACCTTCGGGGCGGAAATTAGGCTAGCAGTTCAAAACTTCAAAATTGCGGGAGGAAATTTGAAACTTCCATCCAAAGTTCTGAAGTCTTAAAATGTTATTATTGAATTTGTCTGAAGTTTGCTTCATCTGGCTAAACTTTTTACATATTATAAAAACTGTTCTTTGAAGAGTTTTTTTACACACTTGATCCTTTTTAACTATTATTTAAAAAAATAACATCATTTATTGTTTATTCCATAAAGAGTATTTTTTTATTATTATTATTAGCATATTACAAAAATTAAGCCCAACATTCATCTTCTTCACTCTATTTTTTAAAACCTGATGCATATGTGAATGCCACCTAAATTCAAGATGTATTGATTTATACGTCTTTTATACTTTGTATATCAAGTATCACTTTAATTCAAAATGTATTTTTATGTATATAATTTTTGTATATTTATTTGTGAAGTGCCATATCATTTTAAGATGTATTTTTAATCTATATTTCAAATATATTTTATATGTCAAGTACCATTTTAATTCAGGATGTATTTTTTGTATATTTATATGCCATCTTAATTAAATTTAAGATATAATTTTGTATGTATATTTCACATGTCTAAGTGTCATCTTAATTGAAGATGTATTTTTTATGTATATTTTTTGTATANTTAAATTTAAGATATATTTTTTATGTATATTTCACATGTCTAAGTGTCATCTTAATTGAAGATGTATTTTTTTATGTATATTTTTTATATATTTTATATGTGTTAATTCAATATATATATTATTTTATATACGTTTTGTATATATTAACGTATACTATTATCGAAGTAAGATCTTTATGTTAAGAAAAGAAGAAAGAAGGAAGAGAAAAACTTAAGAAAGATAATTAAAAAGAAAACGAATGGAACAAATTTAAAAAATATATTGGCTTTGACAGAAAATAAAATTAAGAAAATGAAGAAAAAGAAGGAAAGCTAATAGATAAAGAGAAAAAAAAAATATGATTTTTGTACAAAACATTATTGACTTTCCATTCAAATTGCTTATGTTTAGAGATTAATAATTAATATTCCTATTTTAATGGGACTGTGTGCTATAAATATAAATATTTTATTGTTACAACTGTAATATTGAATTTCATGGTATGAATTTGTTATATTTCTTTTAAACTGTGACATTTATATAAATTTTCTTTTTGAAACGACACAACGAGAAAATGATGGCCCAAGCCCAACAAGTCAACTACCACTTCATTTCCATTGAAATTAAATGATGACCGTTTGTTTCTTCAACTTCCCTATCTTCTACTTTTGCTGAAGTAAGAGCAAAAGCAGAAGAATGACTACACATATTTCTCCAATGGCATCAACAATTAAGCAATTCCCATCAACTAGCTTCAATCCTCAGCCACTCCAATCAGTTTTCCACGGATTTAGAACAAAACCAACTCAAACTTCTGTTGCTGCTTCCCTTAGAAAAGCTCCCCATCTTCTCTCTTATTCACCTCCATTGCCTTCTCACAACTTCAATTTTCAGAATTCATTTGTTCCACTTTCTGCTTGCCTTGCTATTCTTCTCTGCTCCTCTCCTGGTAATGTAATCTTGGTTACCTTATTTTGCCTCTTTTGTTATCTTCCTATTGTGATTTTTCTGAGTAAGGGGAGCCTTGTCGTAACCATTAAAGTTATGTGACCAGGAGGTCATGGGTTCGAGCGGTGTAAACAGCCTCTTGCACTGCATACGATAGTGGTCGGGCTCTTCCCGACCCGCGCACAAAGGGAGCTTAATACACCGGGCTGCCTTTAGATGTGATTTTTCCGAGACCCTTTGAAACTAAGTGGAATGGATATAGAGGAATATTATAAGAGAAGTTTTTCGAATTCTTGAATGTTGAGATTTGGTAGCAACAAGAAGTTTTTTTCTTGTTGCTAGTTACAAGGAAGCAAAGACCATTGTGGTCCGGCCCTTCTTCAAATCCCGCGCATAGCGGAAGCTTAGTGCACCGGAGCTGACTTAGGGAAGCAAATAGCTTGGTGTCTTGGGTTTATTTTTGGATTCAACATACATGCACTTATATTTTAAAGAAAAATTACATTATTAGTGTATTTTAATCTGTTGTATCAGATAACAAGGGCGGAGGCAGAAGCCGAACTATGGGTTCGGTCGAACTCAATAACTTTTGCTCAAACAGTGTATTTTGTGTTAAAAAATTTATTAATTATGGGTAAAGATTAAATCTACAACCCAGTCATAAATATTTGAAGTTGTCGTTTTAAAATTCAGAACTCATAAAGTTAAAATACTGGCTCCACCATCTCGCAAATAACGTGCATAATATTTTCAGGTTGAATATTCCACTTTTTATGGATGGTTACTTGTATTTAGATTTTTAGGTGACTTGACAGTATAAATGATTTTTACATTACTGAATCGTCACTTGAGGGATTATATTCTATCATCTGCGTTTTGACCTTTGACACTATATTGGTCCAAATGGGAACAATGATCAACTCAGGTTTAAGATAGCCTAGCTTTCTTTGTATTGAATGTTTCTTTTGTTTTTTCATTTACTACTTATCAATGAAGATCTTACGTCAATA